ACTGGGGCTGGGATGCTCTGGGATGTACATATCTCCACACTGAAGGCAGTGGTGGCAACCAGAAGAGCCACAGGAGTGTTCAAACAGACACCCAATGAGGAGTGAATCCCGAAGAGGGAAGTGATACTTTCGAGAAGAATCTTTTAGGGCAGGAGTTGATTCCTGTATGCTTTGACTGTTCAGTGATGCCTGATTGTGTATTGTGACCCATGGGTGAGAAGATGCCTCGATGAATCACCTGAGTGGGGAGAGCCTAATTCAAGATGAGTTTTGAAGTGTCTGGACTGAGAGGCTCAGCAACAAATGCTGCAGTTTCCTGATGGCTGGTCTGGTCTCAGTTCTTGTTCAAACTAGTTTTCTTGATTGCTTTGCAGTGGGTTTTTCCACTCGTAGTGTGCAAAAAGCTTGAAGGCTGCAAAGGCTGCATGAAGTCATAGTATCATTTGAGTTGAAAGGGACTCTTAAAGGTCATCTAGTCCAACTCCTCTGCAGTGAACAGGAACACCTACAGCTCAGTCAGTTTACTCAGAGCTCCATCCAGCTTGATCTTGAATGTCCCCAGGAATTGGACATCTACCATCTCTTTGGGTAACTCTTTGGGTTCCATTTGTCGCCCTGTTGTAGGAAAAACATCTTCCTTATATCCAATCTAAATCTCCTGTGTTAGTTTGAAACCATTTCTTCTTGTCCTATCACAATAGACTCTGCTGAAGAGTCTAAAATGACACATGATGGTGGTTAGCTTTGAGAGGTTATTCACTAGCAGTTATTTTGGATCTCCCCTATATTCCACTTCAGTCAACTCAAATGGGAAAAGAGATGCAGATTCCTTACATCCTGATGTATCTAGGGGCGAAGCCAGTGTTACTGAACATTGGAGGAGGCAGGAGCCAGATCCGTGGGAAAACAGTGGTATTTGTACTTTTCTACCTTTCAGGCCTCCACAGTACGCTGACATAATTGATGCACATAAATTATCCAGATAGGGAATTTCAAGGATATAGGTTGTTGGTGTTTTTTTTTTTTTTTTTTTTTTTTTTGCATCCTCTGTTCTGATAGCTTGCCTTTTTAGTATGTCAGTCCCTATTAATTAACCTTGTTTTGGAGGAAGTTCAGTTTCTAAGGAGTCACTCCAACGGATGATCCTGGGGTGCTGGATCTGTGTGTGCATGGGGTACCTCTCCCTGCAGGAGCTTATTCCAAAGGAAAGAAAAAGAAGGAGGAGTGTACAGGAGATGAGAACTGTAGGATGATGTGACAAAGCCAACGCAGGCGGTTACTCAAAGAGCCAATATTGATAGAGATGACAAGGCAGCATGTTTGAGATAATGATGCAGCTAAGACTGACAGCTGTGGGAAGAAGCAAATAAAAGAGGTTCCTTTTTTATATTGGCTGCCTTTTTCCACCTGTGAATTAGAAGTCTGGATGTGAATTAAGTACCAGGGGAATGGGAGCTGCGTGGGGAAAACATCAGACCGGTTTGAACCACCAAATGAGCAAGGGATCTCAAAGCAGGGGATTTTTTCTTCCTTCTTTCAATTGCATTTCATAATCAATTTCTTTTTGCTGCTGCTCCATTGTAGTGTCGCCTTCAGTGGTTTTTGCTGCTTTTTCCCATTCCCTAGTTGACAGGCTGGCCACGTGGCTCGTGGTCCTTAATTTGAGATGCACAGACGTACAGAAATGAGGGAATTGCACTGTATGTTGCTTGGTTAGTGTTGTTGATGCAGGCCAGTTAGCATGCTGCTGTTAACAATATGGCTGGAGACTTTGTTTGAAGTGTTAATTAGCAGCAATTAGTAGGGTATTAGTTTCTCCCTTCTTATGTCAGCTTTCTTTGCTAGTTAGTTGTATCAACAGGAGGCTCAGTTATCTGTTTGCATAGGAGTTTTGTCAACTTGTTGCGTTGGGAAGATACATAAATGCTTTCCTACCATAAATTGTGAAGTAGATATTCCGAATATAAGAAGACATGTAGCTCAAAACAGAGTTGTCCATAGCTGAAACAGCAAACCTGAGATCGTAGAATCACCGAAGTTGGAAAAGGTCTACAAAATCATCCAGTCCAACCATTCACCTGTCGCCAGTAGCTCTCACTAAATCATATCCCAGCACAGCATCTAGACGTTCCCTGAACACCTCTAGGGTCGGTGACTCCACCACCTCCCTGGGCAGCCCATTCCAGCTCCTGATCACTCTTTTGGAAAAGTAGTATTTCCTAACATCCAGCCTCAATCTCCCCTGGGACAACCTGAGGCCGTTCCCTCTTGTCCAGTCGCTAGTTACATGAGAGCAGAGGCTGACCCCCAGCTCACTGCAGCCTGCAGGTGTTGAGTTTCTGCCTTTCAGTCTAGGTGGACTTGAGCTCAGTCCCAGATGTGGCTGTTGGCAGGTTCATGCTGATTTTCTCATCTATTTCCCATTTCTGACAGGCAATTCCCAGTCTCAGGGGAATGGGCCCTTCTTGTGGATCTGGTGGCAGATCTGGGGTTTAGCTGCGTAAGAAATGGCATTGTTTGAATGGACATCTTCAGCTTCCTATCAGTTTGTGACTTTACCCAGTCAGCATCGTGGGAACATTGCAGAGTTTAAATAAGATACCAAGTAGCTTATCTTTCCTCTCAGTGTTTGTATTGTTGCCCCTGAGTTTTGTTTAAAATGATAAATTGTTGTGCTTAAATTGATTTCTCTCTGTTCTTTAAAATTCTTTTTCAGTAGATCCAGATTACCATTCGTTGCTGTTTGATCTTAGACAGAAATGAAAACAGCTAAATCTACTCAAAACTTAGCTTCAGCTGACACTTCCACTTCTCTCACATTGAAGAAGCTTGACGTAAAATCCTGATGCTTAGCCAATTAATTATTAATGGTGTTTATTGAAGTATTCTCTACTGAAAGATAAGTGTGTTTTTGACTTAGAATAGACTGATTGCTTCTAGTTTCATAGTTAATTGAAAGTTAATATACACTGAGGATGAGTGATACATATGTTATTAGGTTATCTGCACTTTAAGTACTCATAGTATATAATGTACTTAATTCATTAGTAAGTCTTGCATCAACGAAGAATAAAGATGAAGTGGTTAGCGTCCATTGCAGTGAGGAAGTGATCAGTATTATTTATTGTGTGTTCCAAGAATACTGAGCACTTTGCAAATACACTGCACTGAATCAATTTACAATCTCCTCTTCCGGGGGGGGGAAAAAAAAAAAAAAAAAAAAAAAAAAAAAGTAGGTATATATTTACTTTGTTAAAAGGTTCTTTAGGAGTGAGGAACACAAACCACTGGTGGAGGTCTAACTTTGCTCAAACCATCTTCTGCTGAGTGCTGTACCACCTTTGCTTCTACCAGCGATGCTTTGTGAAGCGTGCATGGTTTTAGCATAGCTTAATTGCCACCACAACAGTGCTGTTGTGATTGCTCCGGCATACAGTCCTATCATGACTCAGTGAATGGAAATCACCCTTACGCTTGATGTGGTCTTTATCTTTTTCAGTTCCTTCTGTACCTTCTCATGTGTCTGTTTTTCCCTCGAGTTTCGTTGGAACAACCTTAAAAACTGAGGATGAAAAATCTATGACAAAGCACTCTCCCTCTTTCTATTTTATGACCACCGTATTTGGTCTTCCTGAATATCTTCCTGAGTAGTAAAAGTTGAAAAAAATCCCATAATATTTTTACACTCTTATTACCTCCTGCTTTGCATGGACTCTGGCAGTAAGAGTATTATTATTTCCTACTTTTAGTCATGCTTCTTGCACAGCATTTGGTGTTGGTGCTGCCAGCAGAGTCCTCTCTGTCATCTGAGTCTTGGAGGCATCCACTAATAAGCAGGACCAGTCCTCTGTATCCTATGTTCTGGACACACGCCTTCCTCACCATCTGTCTTCCCTGCAGCATCTCTAGTATGACTAGCTGGTTCCCTCTGCGCCTGTAAGCCGAGCTCTTGGTTTCTCTTTTCCAGTCCTCCCTTGATACTTTGTAATTCATCGTCACCGTGAGTTTTACTGAAAAGTTCACTTTTTTTTAAATCTACTTTTAAATGTGTATCTCTGGGTATTGCTTGTCCGATGGCTTACTCTGGCTGGAGATACAGTTCTCGATCTCATGTCTGATTCAAGATCTAGTCAGTGTTGTGTTCCCTTTCTCACGCATTTTGTGGTTTTATTATGCTGCTTTTGAAACAGTTTTAAAGCAGAAGAGTCTCCTCTGCCATCACAACCCGATCTACACCTGACTTAATGTTTTCTACTCTAGGTGGCACTAAATGGCGCAGTTACCTTAAATTTGCCTTCAGAAAGCAGTTGCAGCACTATTTTATTTCACTATCTATGTTATAAATGCTTAACTTCATTTTCTAGAGGTTATTCCAGTCTCTCCCAAGTCCTTTAGAAAACTGGAAAATATTTCTGAAATGAGGTATTTCAATTGCTAACACTCTGTGAGTTATGTTGGAAGTTAAAGACTGGACTTGGAAGGTGACCGAGTTGGCCTTTCTTGGATGCCTTTTTTTGTCAAGGATTGTGCATCTCTATCAGTTGTTCTCATTTCTCAGCTGGTAACACAGGGCTCTGGTCTGAACTTTGGCATGTGGATTCTTTGTGTTGAATATTGTGGATGTTATTACCACATTGTCATCTCTGTTGTTATTATTGTGATCTAATGTAGTATGAAATAATATTGACATAAAGTGTAATATCTTATGATAGTGTTGCCACTTAGAGGTGATATCCTCTGTTGTGGTCTTTCTTCCAAAAGTGGCTTCACTTTGGATGAGAGAGCAAGGTTAAAGAGCTGTGATCAAATACTATAACGTGAAACCTACTAGAAGTGGCTGAGTGTTGATGTAAGTACAACAAATCACTCATTTTTTCTTTTCCATTTAGTTTGTGCCCTAGGAACTCTCTGCTGCAGGATGAATTAGGAAAGGAAGGACTCTTTCTCTGAACCATGGACGCAAGAGCATCTTTCATCACTACCATGCAAGAGAGCCAGCATCTATCCCCAGAGAAGGGGCAGGGACTGGCCAATGGTGATGGGGATCAATTTGATTCAGGTGAGCTCTCCTTTTCTCTTGTAGGTTTCCTACATGTCACAGTCTTCCAGATGACTGCTTTAGGGAAGGTGGCAGCTGTTTACTGGGTGGCATTAGGGTTGGATGCCTTGATGGCCATTTTTTGAGTCTTGTGGATTGGGGAAGGGTGTGTGTCCCATATTGTGGAACGCCCAGGTGGATCCGTGATTGATAAGTTGGGGAAATTTTGACTTTTGGAGATTTTCTAAGGTATGTTCTAACTACTTTAAATGAAAAGCAGTGGAAAACCTTTCCCAGGGCATCATATTGTGTTCTTCCTGTCCACCCACACACTCTGTATTTTATTTTACTCTCTTTTGATTAAAGAAAGGAAATGAATGTTCAGAAATTACAGTATTTCTCGTTTGTTTTGACCTTTATCTTTGTTCCTTCAGATTATTATTTTTTGTATTACTTCAGATGAGAGGGCATCACAAATGTTATCCCAGCCAGCAGAGAGCTGGTTGCATGTTGTCCTTGTGCACATGAGTATGACTGCTCTGAGATGGGCACTGAATGATAAGGATTTGCTGGGTAAAATTGGCTCAGTAACTTCACCCTTATTCCGTGTTTATTCAGGAAAGCTCAGCTGAGGAACTTGTGAAGCACAAAGCTGAGCCACCTGTCAGTTACTCTGTACAAAATGTTTCATTTTTGCCTTGTGGTAATGATGTTGTTGCTAATGTGCTTTAATGCTTTTCCAGAAATCTTGTGCATTTCTGTAACAGCAGTTCTTCATCAAGGGATCCTGAGGTGTAATGGCAAATGAAAGTCTACTCTTGCATGCAAGCATTCTAAAGAGCTGCCTGAAGTCTGCTTCCATAGAAGTAGGCCGTCTCACCAGGGGTGAATCACTGATCCAACTTCAAAAATGCAGTGGTAACAGTGTTGGGGTGAATGCTTGAAAACAGCTTGCTTTGGCTTCAGCGTCCTTTGCTTTGACTCCTATGTTCTTTGCATCTGTTCTCTCAGATGGTGCTGTGTTGTGCTGGAAGGTGTCCCTGCCTGTGTCAGGTGACTGAACTAGATGATCTTTAAGGTGCCTTTCAACCCAAACAATTCTATGATTCCACGTTGTGTTCAAGTCATTTGCAAAGCTTTATCATTGGTCCACTTCTCACTGTTTCCCACTGAGCACCCCAGAAATTGTGTGTGTTAAGAAACTTCGATTCATCCCACCTAAAGGAAGTGGGAAACTTTTATGTTCCCTTAGTTAAAAACATAATAGTTATCCTGGGCTCTGCTGTAGATGTGAAAAAGCTTCACTTTCATAGGGTTTCGCATAGAGAGCTAAGGATCATCTAGAGTTAACCAGCTGAATATGGAATTGTAATGCCTTAAGACGCTTGGAAAAAGAAGTCATCATGGAATATCCCGAGTTGGAAGAGACTCATAAGGATCATACAGTCCAACTCCTGGCTCCAGCTCAAGTTCTGTATCTGAAAATGTTGTCCAAATGCTTCTAGAACTCTGGCAGCTTGTGGCTGTGCCCACTGCTCTGGGGAGCTTGTTCCAGGCCTCAAATCACCCTGTCAATGAAGAACCTTTCCCAGACACTCAACCTGACCCTCCCATCACACAGTTCCATGCTGCTGTCACCATTAAAGAGACTTGTAGCTCAATAAAACAAGTCATCTCATTTTAACATCAGCACTGGGTTGTCTTTGAGTTGAAAAATCACCTGGCTGGAATAGAAAGGGACATCAGGATCCTGATTGACTGTGTTAGGTGGATCCTTATCTTGAGATGACGTTTCCAGAGTGGGCAGCCTTATCTAGACACTGCTGGATCCATTTATATCTATGAGAGAGCTGTAGGAGCTCTCTCTGGGATGAGGTGCAGGTGATCAGTTGAGAATATGTGACTTGGTGACTCTCCCAAGGCTGTGCAGGAGTCTTGTTGTTGATCAGGATTTCCCCTTTGCCCCAGGCCCTCCCCTGTGTGTTAATCCTAAATCATTTTGCCTTTCAGTTCTTTGTGAGTGAACAAAGTCATGAATATATTTATATGCCTGTAAATAAGATAGCTTAGCAGTTTCCACAAATACTGTAATTTCCAAAGATGTTCTCCTTCGGGTAAGCCTGGGAAAAATCTAAGCTTATGTAGCCACAGGTTTTGGGTCTTTTATCTCATCCTGCGAGGCTGATAACATCTGGAATAGTTGCATTTTTATAGTGTCAATGCATGAAGGACTGCAGAGCACTTTAAAGCCATTCAGGGGCTCAGAGATAATGACTTGTTGATTTTATTTGCCATCCTAGACTTGTTTATACATCACCGTATTGTAGGCTAGCCAGCCTTGACTCTTTCATTAAAAAAGAGCACTGAGCCTAAGCACCAATAATTGGAAAGGGAGCTGATATGTAAAGTAGGCCTAATGCCAAATTTGTCATCTCACAGGGAGCTCTGCAAAACGCTGGCACCTGGGGCTCTGTGTCTCTCCAGCAGAGCCAGGACTTTGTTGTAGGAGTGTGTGGCTTGAGGACTGACAAACAGATTGCCTTTAGGATCATCGCTTCCTGAGTGGGCACGGTTGTCTTTGTATGTTCAGAGAGACTTTGCTTTTTGATTGGGGACCAGCAGATACTCAAGGAAGGCTGGCAAAGGGTATCCTGTGTTCCTCATCAGTAGGGGTTTTGCAATGGGCAAGAAGATTTGTGTGCAGTCCAACTACTGTACTTGTGGATGTAAGTAGGAGTGTACCCCCTGACTCTGGGTCGCCCTGAGTCTGCCCACGATGTCCCCTTGCCAGGTTTTCTAGAAGGGAACAGAATCCATTTAAAAACAGATTTGGAAGCTTACATTCGCTTCACAATCTTTGGTGATAAAATGAAGCAAAATAAAACACTGATGCCATGATAAATGAGTACTCCAACATTATTTTTACAGACCTTGTAAAAGTAATTTCCTGATAAAGTCTGCAGATAAAACACCGTAGAGGAGTCAGACTATTGATGTGTCAGAGAGAAATGAATTGACTGGGAAGGAAAGCTGTAGCTCACGCTGCTGTGGAAAGAATACTCGTAACGCTTTCCCCTGGCCTCTTGGACCTCCCTATTTGGCTTTAGAAAGGAGAGATCAGGGTCATTATTAAAACAAGTGCTTTTGGGAGTTCTGTTGGACTGCATGTGAATGAATCTGTTGGCAAGGCTGTGGGAACAGTGTGACTGGTGGCTATGGGTTGGCACATAGCAGAGTAGGTCATGGGCAATAATACATTAGGAAGGAGGGGAGGGCTTGCTGCATCTGTAACTAGCATCTTTAATGCTAACGTAATTAACTTAGTGTTGCCAAATCCCGTCTCTCTGGAGATACTGCTCCTTACACGGATGGTATGTACTGAACTGCTTAAAAGCCCTTCTACCACTCCGTGGAAATTAGGTTGCCTGCTGAGATGGTGGATTCCCCGTCCTTGGACACATTCACGGTCAGGCTGGATGAGGCTCTGAGCAACCAGATCTAGCTGTGGATGTCCCTGTTCATTGCAGGGAAGTTGGACAGATGGCCTTTAATGTCCCTTCCAACTCAAATGATTCTGTGATATTACTCCTTCCCATAAGAATGCTGAGGAAGGATGAAGAGAAGGAGAAACGTGATGGACTAACCATGAAAGCTGGAACAAGAAAAAGGAATGACAGCTGAGAAGATACAGAGAGCACTGTGGGCTGAGAGAAGTGTCTCATGCTTTGAAACAGAAATAGCTGAGCAGAGGGAAAAGACGTGGGGGGTATGTTTGGGTGGAGATGACTTTGGGGTTGTTGAGTAGCCCATCCCAGCACCAGAAGCACAAACAGGTGATAGAATGGGAAACAACCAGGCGGAGGGGTGTGCCTTTAGCTTTTTGCCTCTTGCTTTTCACATCAGAAGTTACTGGCTTATAGTAGGACTGTGATTGATGGTGCCTGGGATAGAAAGTTGCTTAAACATAGGAACAATTGTAAGTTTCTGATGGATAGCCATGTCTGCCGATATACTCACGAACTTGCATACATTTTTAAAAAAATATTAACCCTTGAAATCTCTGAACCTGACTCCTCTAAAAAATAACTCCAGGCGGTTGCTGATTTTCAGATTGAAGTTTTCCCTGATCATCAAAGTTGCCTGCTTGCATGATATAGCTAAGTCTTAGCAATTTGTGCACAAAGTTCTTACTTTTGGCTAAGCTGTCCTTCTCTTTCAGCCAAGAATGAGCAAAGTCCTCATTTTGTGCCTGGAGTTCTTTTTGGTAGCCAGGAGGCAGCCATCTTCAAGCCACCTTGCCACTTTACATGGGAGTAAGAGTTGATTTACATCTCCATATTTAATTGAGTTGGTGGTATGGAGCCAGACGTTAAGCTTGATGCAGCGGTTTGCAGTGTTTAATGGTGATGACAGCTCAGTGCTGCTCTTTGAACTCCCAGACAAATCTTTACCCTCTTCCAACTCTGTCTCAAAAACCCTCCTCTGAGACATTTTTTTTTTTTTCCCCTTCGCATACATATGTCTGCAAATAAAGCCTATTTCTTCCCCTTTTAATGATGAGAGATTCCCATTACACAGTATAATTTTCTAGTCTTGAAAACTGGAGACCTGTAGCAACAATTTCAATAAATTAACCCTGCCATTTTCTTCATAAAACTATCTGGGGAGGCTCCTTAATTCAGTTTGTCATGAGTCACTTTAATTACATCATGACCACGCTGATAAATGTGTGTGCAGGTAAGGGTCTCTTGTAGTTTTCCTTGATAAATGCTTATTGCAAACAGCTCATTGCTAGACTGTAAATATTTTTGCTCTGGGGATGTAACTGAGTTTGTGAGAATGCCTGGGAACAAAATGAAAACAATCAGATGTGGCTGATTTTCTGTAAGTGAAAGACAGTTTGTTCTTAATTATTGCTGTGTGTGTTTCAGCAATGGTTTCAGGCCTCAACTCTGCTCTGCTCAGTGGGGATATGTTTAAAAAAAAAAAAAAAAGAAGAGTAATGTCAACTCCTTCCCTATGGGGAAAGAAGGATTGTGAGGGGGCATTGGTGTGAGTAGGGAAGACATGATGCAGAGCCTCAAATCTGAAATGGGGCAAGGATAAATGCAGTCAACAAGAATGCAGCAGTGGGCTGGGGATTTGGAAAAGCAGCTTTGGTGCTGGTGGAAGGATTCCATTGGGGTTCTTGGGTGTTGGAGGGCAGAGGAAGGCTGAGCAGGGAGAAATAGAATAGCAGAGCTGAAACTGTCTCCCCTCAGCCCCAAGGGCTGGGTTGCTTGTTTTTCATGCTGCTCAGCCAACAAGAACAACATCCATTGTTATCACCAGTACACTGTTGCAATTAGCAGTCTGGGGGAACCCAAGGCTGGGACATGGGCATGGCCACTGTATCCCTGTGATAGCGGGCTGACAACCAACTCTTGTAGCACAGTCCCTGTTGCAGTATAATGAGTTTGTTCCCCTGTTGTGATGATTGCAGGGTCAATTTTGGTCTCACAGTGTTGGCTGATAAAGTCCCAAAATCTGCTGAAAGTGTTTTAAGAGCCAGTCAAGCTGGCTAAGAACAGATCTTCAAGGAGGCTTTTTCTCTCACATTGATGTTTGGATCAGTTGCTATTTTTCCCCTGGACTGTTTGATACAGCTTTTGCCTTCTTTGGCTGCATTTTGGGCTGTTTTCCTTTCTTTCTACTACTTTTTTTTTTTCTTGTTTTCCTTTTGAACAGATGAGGGCTCCAGCATTGAGGATGCAGACTTCAACTGGGATGAGTTCCTGGAGGAAACAGGAGCCAGTGCTGCTCCCCACACCTCCTTCAAACATGTATGTGCATTGTCTGCCTTGCTAGTATTGAATGTGTTCCCTCTTACGGTGTTCCTGACCAGCTGAAATGGAATCTGTCCGTTCTGTGGGGAGTTTGGCCTTCTGTGGCAGTGTATGTGAAAATAAGATGGAGTACTTCCTGTTGTCCATGCAGCTCCAGGCCCTCTTGCTGCTGTTAGGTGACATCAGCTCTGTGCACTCAGAGCACAGTGTCTGTGCCACTGGGTTCAAATATCATTTATGAGGTTTCATTCTGCTCTCCTCACATACTCATTTTTTTTTATTTTTTTATTTTTCTTTCTTAATTTGTTGGTATCCTTTCCAACTTGTAGAGATTCATCTCACCAGAGCATCTTATTTCTCTGAAGGTGCTCTCTCAGTGCATGATTTGCTGACCAGCAGGGTTGCTCGCCACCAGAGCCCAGCATGGTCCCTAGGAATCCATCAACCCCCTTCCTAAACATCCTGCCTCAGGAATGTGGGAACCAAACAGTGGAGTTGGTGATAACTTTCCTGGATGCTATGTTGTATGCAGATGTAAAAGAGTCCTATATGTGTCACGGTAGTTAGGACGTGGTGGCTCCAGCCCACGTTAGCAGTAGTATACAGAGCCTCTGAAATTCTGAATGATGGAGAAAATCGGAGTATGCTTTGAGGAGGGATCTTGTCAAGGAGCAGAGCCTGTCAAGGATATTGTATGGACCCATTTTTCCATCTGCAAACAGTTGTTTAATGTCTTTTATTTGGCCCACGTGTGTGCTGTCCATAGTCTGCCTTTACACGAGGACTTGAGATGGAGCTTAAACTAGTGCAGAGATTCTTCATCATCATCAAAGACGTACACATATGGTGTAATCGGCATATTTTTCCAGGTCCTTGTTTTCAGTCAGATGAAGAATTGTTCTTTCAGATGTTATGGTGCATTTACCTGTATCAAGCTATGCCCAGTCATGGTGGTTCTCTGTCCTCAACTGTGAGTCATGTGTAGATGATTCTGTTCATCCTCTGACCTGGCCCATCAGCTGCAGGTAGCAGCTACATCTGGTAATAGGACTCACCAGCCCCTTTTCTCTCATCTTCATTCACCTGACATGAATGCTCTGGATGATGTGGATATCTCAATCAGGAAGAGAAGTGTTTCACATGTGATGCTCTCATTTGCCTTCCATTGAGTCTGGTTGCTGGCAGAAATCCTTGGGAACATATAGTTGTACCGCAGTGAAGGGAAAGTTTCCTGAAGAATTTGTTGCTGCTTTAAGATAAGTCTCCATTTGGATAGCTGCTTTCATGCCATTAAACCACCTTTGCCTCCAGGTGGTTTCTTGATTTGTTTTGAGGAGATAAAGAGCAGTAGTGACGAAAAACCTTGTCTCTACAACTGGATAAAATTAATAATACCAGCCTCCGTTACCTATTCTATGCACATAGATAGAGTATTGCAAGATGAAGGATCCTAATTTTCTGTACTGGAGAACTACAGTACAGTGGTAAAATTTTGTTGTAGTTTATCCTTGGCCCAGTAGCTGTCTGGAAAGAACATCTTGTCCCAGGGTGTTAACTCTGGTTCTTGTCTCAAATAGAGGATCCTGCTGGGAGCTGTGTGCTTCACAAAGTCCTTCTATTCCCCCTCTTCATGATTTTCATTTAAAGTCTCTTGCCTCAAGTGTTCCACTTTGGTCTTTATTCATGGTGAGAGCAAGAACAGAAGCTACAAATGATCGTGTATCCTGGATTATTCATGAGGACCCTTAGCATCACAAAAGCCAAGATCCTATTTTAGGACTAAACTAGTAAACGTTGTAGTTTTTCCTCCATCTTAAATGATCTCCAGAGGTCTCTTCCAATCTCTGTTAGTCACAGTCCCAGTATTGATGCTAATGGAAGTGCCTGCATATCTGAAAGTATGTGGAGTGTTGTAATCTGCAAATAACATATGCCTTTGGCTGGACACTGCTCACGTTGTAAGCCGGAGTGGGGTAAGGGAGAACTGGGCATACCCAAGGAGCTCTGTTTTTTTCCAGCAACTTGGTATTGTGAAGTTGGCCACATAGACCGTGATATATCACAGCGAGCAGAGGAGGCGTTTTATTGCTTCTCTGCAAGTGAGAACTAAATCAGAGACAACCTTAAACCAGATTTCAAAATCTCTCTGGCTTCAGTAGGACAGAAAGTACATGGAAACCTTTAAGAATCTCTCCTTAAAATTACATGGGGAGTCATGGCTGCATTTTGGATGGTCTTCTGAAGACAAAGCTGTACTCTGAATGGGCTGGCATTCATCTCTTGTGTATCAACAGTACCTAGACACATCCCGCTGGCCCTTGGGAGATGTGTTATGATGTGTCTGCAACAGTCTCTGCAGTGTCCTAGAAGAGCATGGCATCTCCAGTGTCCTTGAACAAGTTGCTTGTGACTTTCTGAGATAAAAACAAGTGACTCCTCCATCAGATTGCAGAACAGTGACCCAAGGCCTTTATTTCTCTCTGCCATATATCCTACACCGTCTTTGTGAGAATACACACCAGGAGAGCAAATTGGGTATGCCTTAAAATTCTGCTTGTGGATATGGTGGAAATACTCTCCTTGGTCTGCTTGGTACAATATTCAGCCTTTGGTGCTTTACAAGCCTCAAGAGGTGTACAAGTATTGTTGTATGACCAATTGTAATAGCTGGGCCTAACTCCCAGAGTGCCTTCCTGTTCTACCTTGCATGTGTCCTGGGATTTGCCTGATGGAGCTGTGTGAAGGGCAGTTACACCACCTTTCTCCTGAGCATTGTTGAGATTTATGAAGCTCAGATGGCTACAGTCCCTCTCAGATTTAGTTCACCTGAGTTTATCACAGCTGATGGATCCCTTTGGAGTACATGGGACCTTGTATGATGGGGATGTACTAGTGAAGTAGGAATGGTCCTGCACAGGCAGGTTGTGAAGAAGGTGATTGGTATTAATAGCAGAATATTATGGGTTAGAAGGGATGTTAAGTGTCATCCAGTTTCAAGCCCTGCCATGGGTTGGTTGCCATCCACAATGCCCCATCCAATCTGGTCTTGAATGCCTCCAGGGATGGGGCATCTATAGCTTCTGTGAGGAACCTGTTCTAGTGCCTTAGCACACTCTAAGTAAAGAATTTCTTCCTAATATCTGAAGTAAATCTCCCTTCTTTTAGCTTAAGACTGTACCTCCTTGTATTATTGCTATTAAGGAGCATGGTCAGCTAACGTCTTATTCCTGATCATCTCTTTAATGGCTTGCTTAGTTAAATGGGGAGCCTCCCTGTAAAGAAGGAAAAGTAACACTGTGCCTTTCTCATTTTGTAAGGTTGAAATCAGCCTCCAAAGCAGTTTTCAGCCAGGGATGAAATTGGAAGTGGCCAACAAGAGTAATCCAGACACATACTGGGTGGCTACAATCATCACAACCTGTGGACAACTCTTACTGCTTCGTTACTGTGGCTATGGGGATGACCGGAGGGCAGATTTTTGGTGTGATGTAATGACAGCAGACCTTCACCCTGTTGGCTGGTGTACACAGAACAACAAGGTCCTGATGCCTCCAGATGGTAAGTTGCATGTGTTTTGCTGGAGTCAAGCCCTAGTCTTGGTCTGACTGTTAATCTCTAGGCTTTCAGTTGGTATGGAATGAATACTCCAGATGCTCAGCTGATGTTGAGTGGTGCAGTTTCACTGAAGTTGTTGTATAACAGCTTAGAGTCAGGTTTCTGTAGATCTATGGGTTATTCAATTTGCCAGTCATTCTCCAGGAAAGGCATTTTGACCTAGGTCTTAAGAACAAAAGCTAATGGATGAGGCTGTCTTAAGGAAATGCTGAATTGCCAGCCCATGACTTCCAGAGGGGAAGCAAGTTGTTTCACACTTTTCAAAAGAAAGGACCAAATTTAGAGTGAGAGAAGAGTAAACAAAATGTGATCTTGATTACACTCAACTTTAACTTGGCTGTGTATTCAGATGCTTTGCTCTCCATTGTCAGACTTCTACAGCTTTTAATTGCAAAAGTAGACCCACATGAATAAAGATGGGAAAATCTGATCGTTGTAGGTTAGGGTATGTCCCAGTCCTCAGCTCTTGGGTGTGCCAAAGCGGAATGTGAGAACTGTAGATTTATGGCACTTGGAATAGCTTTTTAATAACATGTTTGTTCCTCAGTTGATTCTGAGTGTGTAAGGAAAAATGCTTGATTTTTGTTGTTGTTTTTTTTTGTTGGTGTTCTTTTTTTCTGTCATTATACAGGAACAGAACAGCTGTGCATCCTTACCTCTGCGTAGCTCCAGGCAGAGGCACTTGTCACATGTGTATTCCCTCTATATATTCAGTTTCTTTTGGGTTGTGGGAAGAAGAGATGAATGGTTGGCCTCCAGCACATGGATGTGTTAGAGAAAAGTCTCATTTAAGAACTCATTCTTTTGTTCACGTGGCTGCTGAAGAAGTAGATGTGCTTTTTGTGTGCCATGTGTGACTTCTGGTGTAGATGTTGCCTTGCTTCCCACTAAACTGGATCGTAGGTACAGTCTTTGAAACAGCAGAAATGGCCTCATTCTTGCCTTGTCTGTGCTGAACACTAGAGTTAAACAGTGATGTTTTTGTTCTGGTCTGACTGTCTTTAGAACAACGGAGGATTGATTGCTTAAAAAAGTATTAAAGACAAATATGGCTGAGAAATCTGTTGGCTTAGGAATAATACATCAAGCTGATGTGAGAAGGGTTATTTTTTTTTTTTTTCTTATTTTATTGGTCTCTTAAACCATCTTTTATTATGTGGATTATAATCAATGTTACTGGAAAAGGTGTACAGTGCCATAAACTAAATCTCAAAATGCCAGGTTCAAGGGGTGAAAGATTTCGTCGACTGGTGTAATAGAAAATAATGATTGTTTTATAGCTGGAGGCAACTGCTTTTCATGAAAATGTTGCTGGAATCTGCTCTTTGGTTTGTGGTTACTTCACGTAAGCTGTCTTGCTTGAGTGAATGCAAATGTGCAACGCATTTTTTCTTCTCTGTCCAGGTGATATGGTTGTATGCCAAACTCTTACGTCTGGGCAACTGTAGGTACTGTTTTATTGGACATGTGGTTGTTTTTTGTTTGGTTGTTTTTTTATTTCCTTTCTCTGTTGTAAGATTTAAGCGTTTAAAAGGTTGAGTTGTATTTTGGAATGAGACATCTAAAACGCCCAGGAGCATTTGAGCCTTCGGAACTTCTCTTCGTTGAAAAGAGAGAGGTCATAAATGCATTTATAAACCACAGAGCTATTCTGGGGGTTGATCTGAGGTGTTCAGCCCACGATCAGGGTGGGATTTTAAGAGGTGGTTGCTCCCATGAGGGCACTACAAGGAAGAGGTTGGGTTTTCAGGAGTGCTATAGGAACAACTTGGCTCTGATGAGCTATTGAAAGCAGTGAGTAGTGCCCTCATTGTGTGCAAATATCTGAAGTTCATCCTGTGTTTAATTGTTTTCTCAGTCTTGATGAGGAACTTCACAGCGGTCCTAAGAGTTTCATCTGGTGAAACCTGCAGGATCAAACCTTGTATTGGTACATAGTAAACTGTTCTCTGTGAACTCCAAGGAGATTTTTTGCCATTTTAGCTTTGCACACTATTTTGTTGTCAAGTGCTTTGTGGAAAGGAAAGCCCGCTCCAAGTTGCATGGATTCATTTTCTAAGGGCCCGATTCTGCACGTATGGATCACAGTGAGGATATCTGCTGGCAAGATCTGCTGGCAAACAGCATGGCCAGTTATCTGTCATTAAGATTCGTTCCCTGTCAGGAACTGAGGGCTCTGTTTAAACGCAGATCTGCTAAGGACTGGCTTAGTGGGCAGAATACCAGCAGTGGGACAATGCTTTGTTTCTGCTTAGTAATCAAATAGGACTGATTGGCTCTACTCTTGCAAATGTGATCCCAGGCAATGCTGTACAGAGTGATAGGATGAAGAATATCATTAAATGAAAGAGAGATGAAAAACGGGGCTGGTTCTGTTTACCGAATCAATAGAGCTTGATTTAATGTTCAGCACATAGAGAGATTTTAAGGGGCAGCTGCCAAATAGTTATTGCTTATGATCCCAATAGAAGGAAGTCATTTAGTTTACAGACTGTTGCATTATTATTTACTGGGTTAGTTTTGCATCGTGGTGCCTGCAAGTATAATGTCAAGTCATGTCATGTCTTCCCCTGACGTTGTAGTGCACTGCTCTGGACTGAGGGCCAAATGCTCCAGTTTGCAGTAAGTTGTATTGACATATGAAAGGATGGTGTGAGTGTATGTCTGCCCATAAGCTTTACCCTCTGCCACCCTCTTCCCTTCAGGAAATCAGAGGAGTAAAATTGTAGTTACTTCAAGCTTTGCCATTAATTATATTTTCCTCATTACAAATCGGTGTGTAATTTGAATTGCAAACTCAAATATCCTGGCAGAATAGATCTGTTTACCATTCAAAGCAAAATGAAAATTATTTAAATTAGTTAATATAGAACTCATTTGAATGAATTGAATGTTTATTCATGAACTAGCTGAGGCAAGTGTGAAGCTGTCCGTATGGTCTCTAGCTTTGGCACTGATCAGCTCTAAAGTCACGTCCTGGGACAGAGATTTCTTTTTTATTGCATATTAACTGTGGTGTAGACCAATGGATAGCTTCTGCCTGATTGAGCTGAGTATGAAATTTACATCCTTTCTGCCAGGGCCCCCCCAGCAACTGTAAAATTTGTATGGGGAAGTAGTTCATAAGGGGAGGTGCTTCAGAGTTCATCGACAGTGGCTGGGATGGAGCAACAGAATGGCATTTGGCTTTTGTGCTGTAGTTGTGGGATGTAACATAGGCCTTCCATTCTTTGGTTAAATCTGCCCTATTATATTGCCCTGCATGAAGGCAGGGACAGCCTTCATCACCTCATATACCTCATCAAATGCTATCCTCCTCAGCACGAAGCTGTGGTGGTTGTTCTTCAGCGTCATTCATCCTGTAAGATCTCTTACTCATAAAGCATTAAAAATTTAAGTCTAACTTAACTTTGCCATAGTTGTGTTTCCCTTAACTGTGAAAGGAAAATAGGTTTCTCGCCTCCTTTAGCCTGTTTTTTCCATGTGCTGTTTTCCTTTGTTGATGACAGTTGGGTTCACGAGCACATTTACCATTGTGTAGAGGAGCAGCGTGGAGAACCTGACAAAGATAGTAGCTAAATTATGCATTGTGAAACACGCACAGAGGAGGCACGTCTTTTGATTGACACTTGGGTGGTTTTGTACAGGTTGCAGGTTTACAGCTGAGCCAACAGAGCTGAATCTCTCCTGGCACTATCTTTAGGCATTCTGTGATGCACTAGAGATGCTGGACAACAAGATGATTGTGTCACCTGTGATTGTGGCAGTGCTTTTGCTTCAGTGTTATTGACAGATGGAAATTCAAATAAAACGTTTCTGAGCTTGGATTTGTGTGGTGATCTTGAGTCTGCTCGCAGTGTAAACCAGGAGGAGGAAGAGGCTGGAGATCTAAAGGAATAGAGGAACGCAGTGGGGAGAGAACCAGGTCTGTGCTCTGGTTTTATCATGAGCCACTACAGATGGGAAACCTCAAAACACTGTCCAGCCATGGATTTGGTGATCACAGTGATCGTTATACTGTGAGTACATGTAGGAATCATTAAGGTTGGAAAAGACCGCTAAGATCAGACAGTTCAAACAACGACCCACCCCCACCATGTCCCCTAACCACATCCCTCAGTGCCACATCTCCACATTTCTTGAACACCTCCATGGCTGGTGACTCCGCCACCTCCCTGCGCAGCCTGTGCCAATGCCTCACCACTCCTCCTGAGAATAAATTTTTCCTGATGTCCAATGTGAACCTCCTCTCCTGCAACTTAAGGCCTTTCCTTTCACCCTATCACTGTTAATCTGGGAGAAGAGGCATGCCCCCACCTCATCACAACTTCCTTTCAGGTAGTGTAACCAGAATTAAAGCTCAGAAGCCTGATCCTAGGATGTAATGAATCCCTCTTGCAAGGTGCTGAACTTGGCAGGTAAAATATGCCACTAAGACTGTTGAGTATAAAGCATTTTGCCCATCCAGGCTTTCTGTGAAAGCAACCATCACCAAATGGTTCACTCAGATTCTGAAGTAGTGGGTAGAGTGTGGGTGAAAAAAAAAAGATAAAAACTTGTGCCACGGTAAACTAGGCTGCCATTCAAATCATAGAATGCCTTGGGTTGGAAGGGACCTTAAAGATCATCCTGTTCTGACTCCCCCACTGCTGGCAGGGTTAATGACAGTTGTATTCCCATCTAGATTGGCGTTTCTCTGACATGTAGTCTGTGATTTTTGTTAGAGTTCAGGTGGTGGATATAAATGTTAGAACAGAGGCGAGGTCTACACTATAGTGGAAAAGAATGGAATTGAAGCAATATATGGTGCAGGGTGTGGGGAGAAGAACAGCAAGGGGGAATGGTGAGGAAAGAAAAGAAGAGCAAGCTTGGAGCAGTCATTTGGGTTTGGGATTTGGGATGCGTGTCATTCAAGAAGCCCTGGGAGTGCAGAAGGCTTTTCT